CGTTGCCATCATCGACAGTGCAGGTGTGCACGACGGCGCAGAAGGTGTCGGTGGTCTCGGAATCACAAGTCCACTTGTGGTATACCTAAGAAAATTGTCCTTCTGAGCAGGAGAAAGAACTATTTAGGGTCTGATACCTGCTGGCCAATGGTGGCGAAGTGTATGGGAGCTCCGGTTGGTCCTCCTTCAAGAATCTCGTACTTGCAGACAGGCATTGGTACGACCTGGGTTTGGAAAGCAGTGGTCAATTCAGAAACCTCGATTTGGGTGCTGACAGTCTTGTCAGACTCCATGTAGAAGCACTGAATTCTGTAGGCTCGATCGACCTTCGTTACAAATTGAGGATGGAAAGAGATGACGATGGTTGTTGATACGAACACACCGCGAGGATTGAGCGACCTGAACATAGCCTCATTGTAAAAGGAAAGTCTCACGAAGTATTCCAAAACATGCCTGGTTCTAGCAGTATGCACTGGTCGAAGGGCAGTTCGATGCCGGCCACCTGTCGGCCACCTTCATCGCTTCTACAGGCAGCATTCTCATATAAACCCTTCACATAAACGTGACCTTCGAACGCATTCCTTGTGTTGAAGTTCACTGTGATCGAGGAGGGCCCGCATTCGATCTCCGGCTCTCCCTCTACTCCGTTGTCGACCGGAATCGCATGAACGACTCCGATCACGGCTATGCACAAGAAGAGGAGGCCCATCTGATAATTTGCTCATTAATAACCTCAGGAAATTTCTGATCGTATAACGGATCCGGCACTTGGTCTTAATTTCAAGATTTTTGAACACAATTTCATGACGATTTCGAGTGACAGGTATAAATACTGAAAGCCTCAAATCGGAATCCCCACCAAAAAAGCACAAAGAGCAACTGCAGGTACTCATGATGATAAGGTGATCACAGCAGGGTCAACCGCCGCCACAGGAGGCCAGGAAGGATAAATATGTCTCATGAAATGGCAGTCCTCCAATTTTTGTATGATTCACACTTTTTTCGTGAAGTTTTCGGCAAAATTGCTCAGAATCCGTTGAGAACGACCCCCCCCTTCCTACGACAACGACCCATTCGTCTTTCACGAATACGACCCTGATCGCACTTTTCAAAAAATGGTTGGTTCGGTCAACTCCAAATACGGCCCAAGTAGTCCTGCAATAAAACGCGCTGACCCATGAGCGATCGTTTGGACCACTTTTCGTTGTAAAGATAAAAAAGTTGTCAAATTGATAATATTCACGACTACTGTAGTTTGTAGTTACCAGAATCCGCGTATGTATAGAGAATATAAAATAAAAAGAAGAGGCAAAAAATAAAATCATGGCAAAAAATCGACTCATGATCACAGCCTTACGACGGGATATATTCAGGGCCAGAATTGAAGCTAAAATAGTTGCTTAGGAATTAGTTCGTGGGTAGTAACTTGCACTCCTCTTTGAACTTTGGCTGCTCAATTGAATGCCCTCACCCGGCCCTCAACTCTATCAATAAGCCAACAATGAGTGGAAAGAAACTTGTTGAAGTTTCGAGAAACAGATCAGGTAAACTGATATTCTCGGAGAAGATCTCCTTAGATGTTCCAGAGGCGTGGGAAGTGAGCGATGCTCTGAGAGAGCTCAGGAAAGAGCGGAGTCGGATACGGGCTGGACGGCGGGGGACGGCAGTTAGTCTGGTGGAGCGAGGCTTGGACCGGCTGAGTCGAACGGGCGGCGGAGTAGTATCATCAACACCATTGACTAGTTATAATGAATAGCCGCATAAGACGCCTTCTTTCCTCTTAAATCACGACGGAATCAGCTCAGCACGAGCCGCCGTTTCGGCGTAGTTGTTTCGCTGCTCTCAGATCGGGATCTCAACACTCGAAACTAGTAACTGGCGATCATACCCACGGATCCTGATGATATATGTCGTGACAGTAACAATTCATGTAGTCATCATCTGTAGAAACAACAAAGGCGTGAAAGGCGTCAATGCGTCACAAAACAATCTCAGCTGCCTTGTAGGACTTCCCCTCGGCTCATGGTTTCGGTTATAATCTAGCCATTAGTGGAGGGTATCTGAATTTCATAGGCTCTGCTGATTATCGCCGGAATTTGATGCTCACCCAAGCGTACAGTAATAGAAGTACAAGCGACGCAAGCTGTGCTCCAGATGTTTGAGTTTTACTCAGCGTTACGAGGTGCTAAGTATTTGGGTTCAATCTTCCAAGACCCTTTGAAACCAACTCATTAGACCAAATGTGAGAATAAACCCCTGACAGCGATCCACTACGCTTACACTAAACATTCAAGTCCCGTGTGCGACGAGATCATCACTATGAAGCGAGTTAAACCGGATCCCATTACCGATGGTCAGGTGGAAAACTGGACTCGATAAGCGGTTTTGAACGCTCTTCGTGCAGGCATTTCAAATTCTTGGAGTTCGATTCAGCGATCGAAGAAGGTAGCTACTGGTTTTGCTGAGAAAGTTTTGTTAACCCTTTGACGACAATGGTAATTTGCACATAGCGTGCACGTGGGAACCATGCCTTATTGCGCGCCCAACTTCCGCTCAAAATTGGGTAAAACGTCCTTTAGAGCAGTTTTCCCATCGAATTTAGTGATGCGCAGATATGACTACAGGTCTAAGCTTGCATATTATATACTGTTGTTAAAAAAGGGAGCTTCGGAAGGGAAGCTCGGATTTAAAAGAGGTGGACGGTAAAAACCGTATAACTTAGTGAGTGTACAGTAAAATTTTTGATACATTCCAAACCCCTACCCGTATCCAAAGACTATAAAAAGCTGAAGAAGCCTTGATAGGTAACTAATCTCACGCATGACCATGCTAGATTTCAATTACTATGCTCGCGAGCATAGTAATTGAAAAAAACTCCAAAACTTCAATAAAATATCTCGTGTGGAACAATTCTATAAACAATGCTAGACGTACGGGTGCCATTGTCCCAGGGGTCAGACACAGTGGCACCCACCTGTGGGTCCCATTGTCGTCAAAGAGTTAAGGAGAGTAATCTAGACTTGAGCCAGTCTAGGCTCGTGTGCGGGCTTGATCGTTGGCAGAACCTTAAGAAATCGCCTGCGCTGAAACTTCCTAGTCAGACTCGCTCTTTTGCGATAAAATACAGGGAGGTTTCATCGATCTCATGAAACTACGGAAATCCTCTGTTATGTTGTAGGAAAATTTGGCCGGCCTTTCGGATTCTTTCCGTAAGTTTTCTGCAGGCCCCAGCAGTTTCATAAATGGGACTGCACGAGTCCGCACGGCTACATACATTAGATTTTTCCATTCTTCAAAGCTTTGATAAAAGTGGCGATTGGAACTGCACCAGAAGGTTCTTCCCTGCGGGGGGGGGGGGAGGAAGGAGAGGGGGAACGAACGTCTCTCGGGAAGTTGCTGGCAGATAGATGTGCGAACATGTTAACGTGTTTGCACGGTTGGAGCTGTCGTTACTGTAGACAGGTTGAAGGGCAAAAGAAAAAATTACAAAAATGGCGCGACATTTTCCTACATTATACTATTACTTGCATGGCAGTGCGATCACATAATAAGCAACAAAAGCAACTTACGTACAACATTACACGCAGTTGCGCTAAAACAAACAGCTTCTCACCCTTGTCCCAGTAAACAGTCACTATTAAAAAA